CCTAAATAATTTTTTAATTAATAAACCCGTAATTACTAGAAATTTGAAAAAAAAATACTAATAAAAGCATTCTATTAAATTTTATTCATCAGAATAAAATAAAAATGTTAGTTTAGTTTCTATACAAATGAAAAAAAGGAAAATTCCTGAGCAACTACGGAAAAAATTGTTTACTGAAAAAAAATAAAACTTTTAATTAAATTAAAAAGTTTCGATTTCAGTTTAGTTTATTTTTTTATTTTAAATTTTATGTAGCATAAGCACCAGGATATTCACTTTAGAAAAATAAAAAGTGCAAACGAATTTTTCGCAATGATTACAAAACTCTTCTAAAAATTTTTATAAAATTTTTGAAATTTTGTAATAAAAAAAAAATTTATTATTTCTAATGTTTAGAATCTCTGTTTGTATTTGAAGTGCACACAGTAAAATAGTTGTTAATTAAGGCGAAATTTATGCACTCTATAGGATTTTAATAAACTTTTGATTATAGATTATTTGCAAATCATTTTAATTGTAGACTTTCAAAAGATCACATTTAAAAGTCTGTGTTTGTGGTTGCACTAGGAAACGAAAACAAAAAATATGATGTAGTCAGCAAATAACCGACAACAAAATTTTTTTTTTTTTTGGTTTGACAGTGTTTGACAAAAACACAAGATAATTGGAAATGTCCTTTAAGCACTTCTTTCAAATTTTAAGTACGATAGCAATATTTTAGCTAGCATATGTAGAAATATGGAAATTTGGCATTTAGAAAAGTTTAATTTTAGGGTAGAATACCCGAATTCTCTGAGAAGGAAAAATTTCAAGTGAATTTATTGATCAATCAATTTTCATGAAAATCTGTTCATCTGAAATTGAACTATACAAGAGCACACACTCAGCAACATCTATTCGAAAATAATTTATTTTCGTTTCCCTATCACGGGATGTAGTTACCCTTACTGAATGCAATATAATAGATAAAAACATCAAAAAATTTTCTTAAAGAATTAATTGGTATATTTCCAACTTTGTGGAGAGGGTATAATATTTGAAGATAAGTGGAGAGATTGGGAAAAACTTTCTTCTAGAGAAATAATATTACACCATTTATCGACGCGCTCCATTTTTGACCATTTATTGATCCATTATGGACCCGCTCAGTTAAAATGATAAAAAAAAAATTTTTCAATTTATTTTTTTGAAAGTAATGTTTGTCAACATTAAAACTTAAAATATTTTTATTTAATTTCCCATTTTACTTTAAATATTCTATGTATTCCAATTTCTAAATTCCAAATGCACTTCATATAACATACATAATTCAAGTGTACTACATATAACATCTTTGACATTAAAATTGCATATTAATGAAGCAAAAATGTGCATATTTTCAATAACTTTTGTACAACTATGAATTTATATTTGAAAAAATCTTTTCCATAATCACATTAAATATATACTAAAACATCCATCATAAGAATCATACTCGTATATACAAAACACATGCTTTTATTGACATACAAGTACATTATATACGTATGACATAATAAATAATAATGTTTGTATAGAATTTATAATTATAATAATACTTTAAGTCAGACCCAAAAAAGAAAAAAATTTTCAAAATAGTTATACAAAATCAAATCCATATAAAATAAACATTAAATTAAATTAAATCAAAAAATATAAATACAAAATTTTCCTTATTTTTTCAAAAATTCACAAAAGATTTTTATGTTTTTACGAGTGATGATTTATTCCAAAAAAAAACAAGAAAAAATAGAGTTGATCATGTCAACTTTGTGATATCCGTACGAATTTATTATCCTTTTGGCGAACAAATGTACTATAGACATTTTACTGTGGTGCAGACTATGACTTTAATTATACTGGCTTTGCTGAACAAGGAATATTTTGTTTTACTCGGGAAATTCATAAGATATATCACGGAGTGCCGAATTTATAGTATCATTCGAATGAACGTGCTCGCGGGAATAATAGTTGCTGTATTATTATATTAATTTATGACTTATAAACAAATAATTTTTCAAGTTGTAGCGTAGCTACCCGGACTACTGCCTCAATCACATCCAATTTAAAAAGCGTTCCGGCATTAATTATTCTAAGTCACTTGTGAAATTTTGGTGAGCTTAGCTCAATTATAGTTTTGGAGTTATCGTTGGAACAGATAAAAAGTAATGGTTAAATCGACTCAAAATTCGACCCTGATAAAAAACATATACTTGAGTTTATATCTCAGACCACTATTTCTTGTCGTTACGACCGCTAAGGAAAATTTATAATACCCTTTAAACATACTTTTATACGGGCATATAAAAAAAAACTAAAAATCAAAACATCCCCCTTTAAAATTACAAGCATACCAAAAATCACTCAAAACAAAAAAACTGAAAATTTAATCGAGTCGGAAATAAGTGTGTGTGTTTGTGTGTGTGTGTGTATTTTTATAAATAAATATTGTACCTATATTCTATGAATATTTTATTAATATAATACATTTATGTATGTATAGAATTTACACAGAAAAAAGAAAAAGAGAAACAAGTATAAAAAAATTATATAAATGATTCGTTTTTCCTTTTTTTAGGTCATATAAGCAAAAAACCAAAATAACAAACATAACAAAAACAAATCAAAAATATTCTAAAAATCATAATTCTCTGTGCTCATATACTTATGATTTAACTGCATATAGAAATATACACATACACATTTCTTCAATCTTATGAGAAAAATTCTCTTATTCTCTAAATTTTATATGTGATTGAACAAACGTATTCTACATAGTTATATTACAAATACTAAAGTAGTAACTATATATGTGCTAATACATAAATAGTATCTAAATTATATTATGGTTTATGTACATAGTATAATATTAGAAAAAAAATTGGCAATACATGAGATTGAAACAAATAAAAGAGAAACTATAATACTCATCACTATTATACTCATTCACTTCATTTTCTTACATATTATAATAAGAGTTGCCGTTTTTGCAATTCAAAACAGTAGCCAATTTTATACTTGTTCCAATTATAATTTGTACATGAAAATTCATTGCTGAGTGATAAACTACCAATGTGAATTATACCAGTCAGTTATGGTTAGAATAAATTTTCAGAATTGCAAATAAAAATTCCAAGTTTACAAACTAATTAAAATCAATAAAAATTCAAGAGTCATTGCTGTTAATAATTTAATTATCGAAGCTTTTTCTGACGTAGTTGAGTACCGGAAGAGACATTACTAAAAAGTAGTAAAATACTCTGTTTAGAATCAAGCGAAAACTCTTATTATATAATATTATGGATGCTCAAACGTATTATAATTTAGGTATTATTTGCGTAATAGAAAAATCCATAGAACTTGTATTTTGTTGAAAAAGAATAGAATTACATACATTATGTTTTCGATTTTTATGTAGGTCAACAACCGTCGTGGCATCGGCCCTATCTATTGTAACTCGAGGTGTACGGCTTTTTCAACTTATACACTTAAAATTTTATTTTGACGAAATTATTAAAACAATTATATTTACCGCATACAAGTTTATTGCACCCTCCAATTGGCGAGAACTATAAGAAAGAGAAAAACAGTTGTATTAAAGAGAATGAAAAATTAATTGTAAAACTTTACCTCGTTAAACTGCAAAACAGCAATATAGTTTTGTTCCATATAGAATTTCACAATTTATTCACAATTAATTTTATAGAATGCTTTATAATTGAGCCACAAATATGCACAAAAAGCGCACACATTAATTGAAACGAGAAAGAGCAGCATTGAGAGGAGTTTTCATTTTTAACAAAAATTGAGTGAATTATCAATCTTTCCCCGTGTTTTCGGGTTTTGAAATTCCTCGAATCCCTGCAAAAAATCAAATCAGCGGGAAATAGAATCACCGAACCCTACCCATATTACTCCGACAATATTTCTTTTTTTTTCTTTATACAAGGTTCTCGATATTTTTCGATTAATATTTGTTTTTAAACAGGATAAAAATATCCTAGCAAATCATATAGGTACTGTGATTTTGATTTTTATTAAAATTAACTTTTTAGCTTTTTCATTCATTTTAAATAAGGAAATGAATGACCAGAAGAAAAGATGAAAATAATTTCATCCCTTGATCCCTAAGCAAATTTTTATGTTTTTCTTTTCGTTTTTATACCCATTTTTTTCTCATTTTACATATATTTCGATTTTTTATATATTTACATACAAAGATGTATGTATGGTACAAAAATAAACAGAAAAATAAAAGTAAATATCTTTATTCCTATATTTTATAATCGATTCTTCTTGAATAATATGGGAAAATTGAGGATGTTATATAATACTTTAATTTATATTTTACGGATACAAAATATATTTTATAATGGGTTAGAGAATATAAATAAAATAAAATATAATTTGTCTATATAGGGTATGTGTATAACAAGTATAGAAATCGAAAAAATTTTTTGTATCATTGCATTACAACATACTCCCGTAATCTACATACGATACATCCAATGTCCAAGTTCATCAAATGAAACCCTTTTCAAATCGACTGGAATAATGACTAACAGAAAATTTATTCAAAGAACACATGAAAACAAATTATTCAAATATTACTTCTCTATTCCGGTCATATACTTATTTTTCCTCTCTCTCTCTCTCTCTTTCACTGTTTCTTCGCCTCGTTTCCATATCTTTTTCTTGTCTTGTCTAACTAAACAATATTTTTATATTCTTCTCTTCTCTGGTTGTTGTTGTCTTTTTTTTCAATTTCCGTTCGTTTCAACTCATCCATTAACTTTTCATCAACATTTATAAATACCAGCGTCAAACTGACTAACCATCATTTTACATGAAAAAAAATAAATAAAAAAATAAATTTTGTGTCCTTCTTGTTTATATTTTTTTTTTATATTTTTCTGCATGTATAAACGTGTATTAATCGATTTTCTTTTTCTTTCTTATTTTAATTTTATTTTCTTATTTAGGCACAAGCAGCTTTAATGTATGATGCAGTATTCGTTTTGGTTGAAGCATTTAATAAAATTTTAAGAAAAAAACCAGATCAATTCCGGAATAACGTACAACGTCGTGGACAACCCTTAAATGGTACAATTAATAGCACATTAAATGGTAATAATAATGTTGGAAGTGGAAATTCTGGCCGACCATTGGATTGTAATTTATCAAAAGGATGGGTTAATCCATGGGAACATGGTGATAAAATATCACGTTACCTTAGAAAAGTATGTTTCTTTTTATTTTGGTTTTTAATTTTATATTACGATATTAAAATATATTTAATAAATTTTGTAGTTATGGCAAGAAAAATAAAGTTGGGTCGAACAAGTGGTATGTAATGTAACACTTTTTCCTTCAACAAGTGAAAATACTGTTTTTAAAAACAATCTAGCTATTTACTTCATTATTAGTATTACATTTATTCAAATACGAATATATTTAAAAAATTGCATACATTTAGGATGAGCAATGTATATTGCATACATTACTCACCCAAAATGTCTGACCCTTTGATAGAAGACAGAGAAAAACTTAATGAGGCGTTAATATAATTCTTGAATTTAAGGGTTAATTGCGTGAGCAAACAAAAATAATCACATTTTTTAATGAAATGGAATTTACCGTTAGCTTTTTGCATTTATAGAAATTTGAAAAAGCTTGCAGTTTCGGAAATATAAGGCACTAAAAATTCAAATTTTACAAATTTTAAGAGGCGATATCTTGAAAGCTAAAAAAAAATTTCTTCAAACAAAATAAAGGAGCTTTTACTTTTTGGAAGGGGTGGGGGGGCGTAAACATTTTCTTCTGCGGAAATAAGTTTCTAGTAAAGATATCTAAATAGATATCTTTCAAGGTGTAGAAATTTTAAAAACATGACCACGGGCAGACAGACTGAAACTAATAGCCACTTTTTTTCAAAAATATTTTGGAAAAGCATTAATAAAAGGGGAAAACAATATTGAGAAATTTAATTTTAAAAATAAATATCCTTAAAAACAACAAATATATATATATATACATAAAAATATAAATTAAAATGGATACCACAGGAGACATTTTCAAATAATCGCCAGGGTTTTCCAAGAAAAAAATATTTCCATAATTTTGATATTTTCTTATGTTGAGTTTTTTTTTTCCATATTTTTGTTATGGAGAGCATGTACTTAAAATGCTTATGACAAACTTAAGAAACTCAATTCTCAGAAATGATATTTAATATGTAATATTTGTTTTTTGTTTTTTCAATATTTAATAGAGTTAAGGGGCCATATATATATACAAAGTAATTACCTACATTTCATTATACAAGGTTATTTTTAAAGATTTTTACCAAAATATTAAATCTAAAATTTTTAAATGCCAAAAATCATTTATGAAAATTTTGGCAAATAATAATATAGGTTATTAAGTATAACCACTATATGTGCTGAACATGACTGGACTCAAACTGTTTCCTTTTATTTATTAAAGAAAAAATTTTAATATTTTAAAATATTTAGAAATTATTTTTATTTTATTTATTTTTTATAGATCATTTCCCAATTCAATTATTTAATTTGAAAAATTTTTAATTTTCATTCTAAAAAAATCTTAAATGAATTAAGGGCTATAATAGCTTTAAGAATTAAAATTGATAAGTTCATAAGTAATATAGTGTAGAAGAAATTTATAAATAGACGATAATTATTGCCTTTAGTTGAAATACTTCAAAGAATTGCCCCTTTTAATGAAATTTAAAAAAATTTATTTCTTTTAAAATTTCAAATCTCATAACCAAACTTATCAAATACAAAACAGTCCCATTTTTCTTTTAAAATTTAAAACTCTGTCAAATCCTGATGGATTATTACTCAAAATATTAACTGAAACCCATACAATATTGCATATATAAATCACAAATTATGCATCTTATACAATAACCATATATGTACATATATAAAATTGAACATACATTCATAATTATAACGATTATATTTTCTATATTAAATTATAAAAAAATTAATTTAATTCATCCTCAATTATACATTTTAGTCTACTTATAAAATTATAAAATTTTCAACATAAAATTTTCTTATTTCATATATGAAAAATAAAATTACTAAATTATAAAGTTGAAAATTAAATTTAGTTTGAAAAAAGTATATAAAAAAAACCAAACTTTCCTGTATATGAAATTCAATATACAAAAAAATTATGTGGTAAGAGTATACATGGTATGTATGGTATGTTTCACCAACCGAAAAGAAATTTAAGCTTTTTATATAAAATTTTATGTACTTGAAGTTGAAAATAAAAAAATCTTAGCAACAGATTCGTTACTAAATATTTACGAAAAATATAAATCAGAAAAACTCTTTAATAAATTACTCCTACACAAGATTTACTTTGCATATATGCAATGTACGTGTGTATGTACATACATATTATACATATGTATAGGAAATTTAGAAATATTTTTGATATTAAAATAAATTATTTTAGGTAAACAGCAAAATTATTAGATGAAAATTGATTTGGCGTATGTGCCAAAATTTTGACTTTGACAAAATCATTTTGAATTCATAACTCTTCCTTAAAAATGCAGAGATCGTTAATTACCATCCTGTTTTTATGTTTGCAAACCAGAAAAATCCCACTTATAATAGTTCAGGTGTCTTCCCAAAAAAAAGGAACTAAATCAAGCATGCGACATATATCTAACTGAATCCACCATTGTCTGGTCGCGCCGCATGTCAAACCATTTCTTTATGCAAATTGTTATTGGTTTGCGTATTAAATAGCATTGTGTAGCAATAGCTTGAACGTACTCACAGAAAATCGTTTTTAGTAAGAGTCGTTTCATGTCTCGCGAGTTGATCCGATATCCATAGTTTCCACAATCCCGGACCGATTTAGTAGACGTCTATGTTTTCAACGCCCTTAAGCGCGACTCTCTGTGAAAATGCTAATACCTCTACATGATATCACGTTTATTGCGATGATTTCCGTCTCAAAGACATGTTGCAGTGGTGCATAGGGTATAGATTCCTCCCTAACCCTATTATTCAGCTTAGATCCATCTATGTAGAAGTGGATAGAGTACCCCTCCTATATTCTGCCTTCATATCTTCAAATTTGCCTGGTTGGAATCGGAGTGCCAAGGTTTTTTCGTGAATGAAAACACAGTTTACGTTAATCTAATGATGTCCTTAGCTCAACAATACAAAATTTTACGTACAAGAAAAATCTATTTTAGCCGGCGGAATAGTATAATATCAGATTCATTGATTATTAGTATTTTAATACTCTCGTAATTTATTTTTAAATTTTAATCAGAATAAATCAAATCTCTAATATTTCTTACAAATGACAGGATCCAGTACATTCTATTGAATGCAAAATTTTAAGAAATTAAACTCAATTACTAGGTTTCCATTTAAAAAATAATCACTAGTTTTCTTAATAATAAATAATTTCTATTAACAGTTCCATTTTTTCTATTTATTTTACGATATTATATTTATTTTAATGACACAAACAAACAAATAAAAAAATGTATTAAAGAGTGGTTGGAAAATAATTTACACAAACATCACCATTAATTTCGAAAAAAAAAACTAATTCAGTTGTGGAAAGAGAACTCCCAACAACTGAAGTTTTATTTGTACTTCATAATTTAATAAATGTCACAAAACAAAATACACATTGTATAACACATATTGCTATTTAGTAAATAAATATTTATGTATCTTTATACGCACTTGATATAATAAATTAGAAACCTAACTGTATTTATAAAATATTCTCTCTATTGAATCTCAAGCGACAGAATCAATTATTCTAATAAAAATTTTGTAAAGCTACCAGCTACCATAACAAAAATTTCGTATTTTATAAAATTCGGTTATACTTTATCAACACTATGTCGAATATTACCGTAACTAAATTATTCGAAAATACATATATATACAACAAGCAATGTATACAATATATTTTTCATAAGATCCCATTGTAGGTACAATATCTTTGTCCCTTTTATTCCTTTCCTCTTCCTCAATCTCTGCCTTCAAAGTCGTACACAATTTTGGTTTTTTTTTGGTTTTCTTTTTTTTTAATAAAATATATAAACTTTCTAAAAATTTTTGATTTATTTTTCATTTTTAAGTTCATGTATGTATATATATATATTGTAAAAATAATATTGCATATACACGTATATCACTTATTACCTATATACATATATGTAAATACAATGAGTAAAAAAAGTTACATTGAAAAATATATTATAAAAACTCTTTAATAAAATAAACTCACATCCTTCATTTTGGTTTCTCTATAAAAAAAAAGTAAAAAATCTACAGAAATATTATCCTTGTGAAATAAATTTTACAACATAACTAATGTGGTATACAATATTTTTCTATAAAGCACTGAGAAACTTCAAGAAAGAATCTATAAGAGTATATTCTCCATTTTTATTATTTTCTATTATAAAAATATAAAAATATATAAATTCTATATGATTGGTATACTTGAATCTTATACAATAAAGCCTAAATATATGCAATATTTACTTTTTTAGCATTTTTCCAGAAAAATTAGAAATAAAATGCTTATTAGTTTAACTCTGTCCATCCGTCTGTTCTCCGGTCCATCCATGAACACATTTACAAAACTTCCGCACCTTTGATAATAGAAAGCTGAAGAAAAGAAAATTGTTACGTATCTTCCACCCCCTCTCTATAAGAACTACCACCCCCTCCTTAACGATACCACAAGCACTTTGCAAATTTTGTGAACAAAAAAAAGTTTCGGCTGATTGCTACCGTAGCACAGCATAATTGAATATTAAAACAGTTTTTTTTCAAATTTTTTTCTAGACCGTATGTTTTAGTGATCTGAAAATATTGCAGCTTTCACACACTCATAAATAGTTCATTCCGTTAAAAGAAAATTTTTCTCCACCTCCTGTTACTCTTAAATTCTGGGCTCACGAAATTTTTAAAATTTAAATTTTCGGAACCTTATATAACCGAAATTGCAAGTTTTTCCAAATTACTATAAATGCAGAAAATGTCATTCGATCAAAAAATATAATTTTTTCTGTTAACTCACGCAATTTACCCTTAAATTCGAGCTTTATATTACCGCGTACTTCAATTACATATACATATTTTTTTTTAAACGTCCTAAGTGTATGCGATATTTGAAATATTTTGGAATATGAATGAAGGAGATAAATAATGCAATAGTTTGTAGGTGTATAAAGAAGGCAATTTTTGTAATTACATAATAGAAATGCTTTTTCTTGAGTGGCGCTATTTTCAATGAATTAAGTTAATACTCACTCCAGCCCTCAAAAACAGTAGTTCTATTGTATAATAACAAAACTTTCCTTTTGTCATTATAAGCTATATACACAATGTTAATGTCCAGATTGTTTTTGAAAGCAGAATTTTTTATCTTGTTGGAGAGAAAAGTGCTACTTTAAAAACCATTGATTTGGCCCAACTTTATTTATAACACTTACCAACTTTATTATAAAAAAAACTTACAAATACAACTGATATTTATAACTATTATTCTAACTAGCAATATAAATTCTAAAATGCCCTATAATTTACTAAAAAAAATATGAACTAATAATAACTCTACTCTTAATTTAAAGTAGAAAGCAAAAATCCTCAACATTTTAAAGTGTTTTGTAGGTTAAGAAAATTTATTAAATGCCAAGAGTAGATTTTCAATTCCTAACAAAATTAAAAATGAAAGAAATTGCTAGAAATTAGACTTTAATTATACAAAAATTGGGGTATTTATTTAGAAAACAAAATATTAAAAACTTTAAAAATTTTAAAGAGAAAATAAATAAAATTTTTTGTTTTTGTTTTCTCTACTTAAATACTCTAAAGTGAATGTACAAATATGGAGAGAAAGAGAATAAAATTTTTTCTTTAATACTTTCATGTTGTTAACAAGAGACGACGTATTGCTTTTCTTTTACTTTAAAATTTATTTGTTCGTTTTCCTGTTCTTCTTTTTATAACATTTTTCTTTTAAAATATAAGAAAAAAATATCCTTTTAATAATCCTTTTCTCTTCTTCTGTATTATAAGATTTTTTCTGCTTTTTTTTACAATATTTATTTTGTGTACATAAGTAATAAAATCTTTTTTTAAACAAGCTAAAGTCAATTTTGATGAATTCTCCAGAGGAAACAAACACCACCTACAGTTTCTTGTTTTTTTTTTTTTTACATTTGTCACAGCATGAAAAGTTGTTGTTCTTCTCTCATATATATAATAACCAATCAACTGACAGCCCTTCAAAATATATATCGAATCCTTAACTAATACCGAATAAAAAAAATAAAATAATGTAAGAAAAAGGAAATTTTTTTTTTAAACTAATTCCAATTTATAAGGATATTTAAATATTATATATGTATACTAGTATATTATATAGGTACTTGTATTATATTGCAATGGAATACTTTATAAATGTTATACGCTATGACTAAACCTATTTTAATGTCACACTTGTTTGTATATATTTGGATGTATATTGTGTGTGTAGAGTTTTGTATAATCAAATTAATAGCATTCTTTTATTGTCACAAACATAATGTTATAAATTTAATTTATATGTACACAGTGTCCACAAAATTTGATTGTATGACTAATATTTTATATTTCCGATCTGTTGACATGATATTCCTGCCAAACATTTGATATCAAAATGAATATCAAATAATCTGCGTACCGTATGTCAAACATAAAAAAAGTGAGAAATGTGAAGGGAGTAAATAAAGGCTAATAGAAATGTAGTTGGAAATCTTTACAAAGTTTCAATTTTACACTTAAATACGCCGCAAACTAAGACCGTCTTTGACTTTAATGAAGATTTGTTTAAAAGAAAAATTAATCGGACTTAAAATGAGTTCACCGTGTTGAGTTTACCGCTAACTGAACATATCCCTCACAACACTACCGAATTGCAGGGCAGCAAAATGTAAAAAAAAGGTTCCAGGAAGCGATAACAAGAACGAAAAATGCAATATCCCGCATATTTTTTTCTTCATCTAATCTATCCTTCTATCACCCTACTTCAGGAGTACAATTGTGTCTTTCGGACACTGTGTAGTTCTATTTAAGTTTTTAAATATATTTCATTTCATTAAGAAAGTGATTTCTGCGAAAATTTTTTCAGAACTTTATTGTTCTCTTTTACGTCATCCCCCAACTTTACTTCGCATTAAATTCATTTTAACACAATCTATCCGATATTAAATATTATAAACTGAGCTATAATATAAACAAACTCACATATTCTCTACATATAAATTAATAAAAATAAAATTTATTGTTTTTTTTTAAGGTGGAAATTGAAGGTTTAACTGGTGATATACGATTTAATGAAGATGGCCGTCGTCAAAATTACACATTGCATATTGTTGAAATGACCGTTAATAGTGCTATGGTTAAAGTTGCTGAATGGACTGATGAAGTTGGTTTAATACCAGTATCAGCAAAATATGTTCGTTTACGTCCAAATGTTGAAATTGAACGTAATAAAACTTATATTGTAACAAGTTTAATTGAGGAACCATATTTAATGTTAAAAATTGGTCATGAACATGAAGAAGGTAACAATCGATATGAAGGTTATTGTAAAGATTTAGCAGATTTACTGGCTAAACACATTGGAATTAATTGTAAGGAAAATTAGAAAATTTTTTATTATAAATTATTATAATTTTTATATACATATACACATACATATACAAACTAACATAAAATATAAATTTTATTTTTTTTTTTTACATTTCTTGTTTTGAATATTTTTTTATTATTTCCTTGCTATTTTATTGTGTTATACAAGTCTATAAATATTATATACAAGTAATAATGTGGACGAAATATAAAAATTGAATTTTAGCAACATAAATTACATATTTTAATACTTCTGAAAACATACAAACTTACAAAATATAAGTACAACATAGTGGCAATTTTGTATATAAAATCGAATTTTGCATTGTGTGTGTGTGTATTAAGGACATTTTTACAATTTATTTTGTGTTTTTTTTTTCTTTTATTTGTCGAAAATTAAATGGGTATATAAAATTAATTTGAATCGGAAGGAAATTTATATATTTCTTAATGTTCTTCAAATATGGTTTTCCATTTCAATTTATTTAATATTAAAAATAACAAAATAAAAAAAAAACAAAACAAAAGGGTCATTTAAGGTAAAATTCAATTTTTGAAAACTTAGCATGACTTTTAGCAAAAGATCAAAATAACGGAAGACAAAAATTATATTAAGAATTAAATTAGGAAACTTACTATAAATATGGAAAAAATTGTAAATATGCAATTTGGATCTTGTGGAGAAACACCATGTTTCTATTAATTTCTTTAAATTATTAAAGCATTTCTCATATTTGAATATTGATTTATAAAATATTCGCAAATGTGATTCTTTTCACAGAAGATTATTGAAACTGATTCGAAAATAAATATTTTGAAAGACTAAAATTTATTCGACAATCGTAGGGTTCTATAGCCACTCCCCTATGTTTATGCAATTTTAATCTGAAACATTTTATTATTAACAAAATTTGTTCTACATAAAATTCTCACTGGGAATTACTCCAAATATTTAACTTAATCGTTTCAAATTCTCATTATCATTAAACAAATTCATAGCGTACTATAAACTTCATCAACCTTTGTTTAAAGTTTTTGAAAATATATGCAATATACCAGTTCATCTTAGTAAATATTTCTTGGAAAATGCATAAATTCCACATTATTACAATAAAAGACACTATGATTCTATATAAAAATATTGAATTAATTATGCTATAAAATTAAAATATTATAAAAAAATTTTATATTGTAGACGAAATCAGAGAAGTTCAAGATAAAACCTATGGAGCCGAAAATCCAGATGTACCAGGCGGATGGGATGGTATGGTTGGAGAACTTGTTAGAAGGGTAGGTATAATCATACACTAAAATAATAATGTAAGAAACAATTTCGTAAAAAAAGATTTGAGTGTGAAAGAATGTTAATTTTTGCGTATCACTGCAGTGCACGTCTTTTATTTATTACATCTGAATTTAATAATGAAAATATTCAGAACATTGACCTTAATTAAACTTGACCAAATGCAGTGAATCAACCCCAATGCTACAATTACGCAACTCTCATGGCATATCAAAGATTATAGTGCCCTTTCTATGGACTTCATCTTGTTGAAAGACACCCAGGATCTTTTGTCACACTGAAGTTTTGGCTCTCCCTGAAGCCATCTGCAACATTCCATTAGGACGCAGTGCTATCCACGTCATTGTTTCACAATGCCCGCACAATCGCTTTGTGTGACATCATATTGACCAATTTTTGCAAAGCGGTGTTCGTTAATTTCCGCGCTTGGTATGGGTGTTGATTGCATTGTCGAGTATAATCTCTTGTAGTGCCATCATTCTGAGGTAGTGGTGAATCACCTTGTACATCGTTTTCAAAAGAGAAAGATTTGTGGGTCTGAACAATCTCATATTGAATATTAGACCTGAACCATGAAAAACTTAAATTCATAACAACGTCCTTACAATCTAAAAGAAATAATAAATCATTCTTCAAATTGAATATGTATAATAGAGCCGTCCCTGTTCAAACCAATTCCGTACACGCACACATGGACAAATACCCACAAATTTTTAAGTTATTAACCTAATTAGGTTGGTAATTGCTGCCATGTTATTAATTAAGCAATTTTTTTTTTTTCATTTTTATTAATTTTGTCGCACATTCTCTCCTTTTTTTCCTTACATCACGTCTTTTTCCTTTTATTAATATTTTCCTTTAATATAAATAAATATTTTATTACATTTACCAATTTTTATATAAACATACTCACATTTTATACAATTTTTTTTTTTGTAAATTTTCTTTTCTAAAGGAAGCAGATATAGCAATTGCTGCAATGACAATAACGAAACAAAGAGAACGTGTAATTGACTTTAGTAAACCGTTTATGTCGTTAGGAATATCAATTATGATTAAAAAGCCTATTAAACAAACACCTGGAGTTTTCAGTTTTATGAATCCCTTATCACAAGAAATTTGGGTAAGTATATAATGTGTGTGTTTGTATATAATTATTAATGTAAGAATATAATAATAAATAAATTCTATTTTTATGAGAATTTCCTCGCCAACTCAGTCCTCATGTACTATGTATATTTTCGCCCGGATATTATACAAAGAACCAATTTATCATTTTTTATGTGAAAATTTCTGTACATAAAAATTTTTATAAAAGAAAACAAAAATTAAAATATATGTACTAAAAATTGTAACGAAATATTGTTGTAAAAATACCAAAAAGACTAAAAGAAAAAATCAACTTGAACAAAAAGTTTATATCCATTTTAGTTACCTACCATATATTATCAAATTTTTGTTCCTCCCCCTTAATTCTGATCAATTTTAACATTTTGCCTTAATAAATTTTTAATGTGCAACAGTTACTTTTATTCATTATTCGCACACAACATTTACTAGCACATTTAATAAGTTTATAAAAAAAATTTTATATATTTATTTTTAATATTAAGTCGGAATTGATTATACATACGCCATGTACACATGTACATGGGATGAATGTAGTAGATTATTCCAGAAAAGAGAACAATACATATCAATTTCAGAATATTAAATTAGAATTATGTGGAGCTATTTTTGTTTAGCCGAATTTCGCTATTAGTTCTTCTTATTATTACCCCTTATCGCCCGGATCCCCCGAAGGAAAGTATATGTAATTATGTGTCATTATAATCTGATTCAAAATATGTAGATCAGCCTATAATATGTTCGTGAAGATGAAGAAAGTTAGAGACTTGAAACAAATACGACATGCAGATCAAAATGGAGTGTAAGAAATACAGGCTCACAGGGGCTACCCGCACAAATGCCCACTTTGTCAAAAACTCACCGTCTATAGCATGATCAAATGAGATGCTGTTGAAAAAAATACATTTGACGACCTTGTAATTTTTGTCCAGTAGCATGTGTTGAAGACTACCTCCTAAACTTTAGTTGCAGAAGAACCCTGAACTTTAGCATTTTATTTAGAAAAATTTTTTCAAATATTAAGAACGGGCGGATATTTTGAACTTCAACAGCCCCACAATTAAATATTTTTGCGTATTTTTATTAAATTTTTAAAATTTATCCCCATTTTTTCCAGTTTTCCCAGGTCGAGTAGAAGACCGCATTTAATTACTCTGAAACATGCTTAAAATTAACAGAACAAATGATACTTTTTTACATTTTTCAAATTATCTTTTATTTACAAATATCCTTAGAAATTCTCCTACTCGTGAACTGTAGCATTGAATTCCAATTAATAATAGGTCCAATTAGTATTAGCTCTGAATTAAAACTTTTGATTCCTAATATTTTAATGTTAACAATTTATATTCCGCCCTTATTCAATAATTCTTCCCATACAAAATATTTTCCATTCAATTTATTAATTTATTTTATTATAATTTTTGTACCCTATAATAGATTTATTAAGAAAAACTTGTAAAATATATTTTTTAAACAATAAAACAAAAAAAAATTAATTAAACCTTTAGAGAATTTCCAGAAAATTGTCATAATCCTCCTGACATGCCTATAGTGCCTTTTAATTTCAATAACCATTCATATTTTTTTTATTTTGATTTATTAAATGGGGCTAGAATCTGAGACTTTTAATTATTATACTCGTTTCTCTTTCTGTTTTTTTATATTATGAAAATAAATTCAAATTTCATAAAAAAAAACTATAAAAAAAGCATAAAATTTTTTAAACTACAAAACTTATTGCCATTCATTCAAGTTTTTTTTTTACAATGGGTAGAGAATAAGGAAGAAGAATTGTGAAGGATTCTGTAACTGATTAACTATAAAATTGATACATCAAAAAAAGAAATGGAAAAAAATGAAAAAAGGGAAAGTAAAACAAGCATAATACCCCTGCCCCTCTCCCATCCACTGTTACCCCTTCCACCAAAAATAAAAAGGAAAGATCAGATAAGCGGGCACAATTATTATTCGCAGAGGAAAAGTTTTCTTTGATTTTCATTTTTTTTTTTGTATTTCTTTCATTTTATTTATTCATAAATATTTTCTTCTAAAATTCATTCTGCTTTTTTTTTAAGTTCATTTCAACCACCTAAAAATTTCACTCTTCTCCATATCATAAAGCGGGAGCGGGAGCTTCAGCATGCTCTCTCATTCTCATCGTACATTATATTTTTTTTTATTACTGTTGCTTGCCTTTTACTTTTATACTTTTGTTTTGCTTTTTTCTCTCTTTTTCTCTTTTTCTTGTTTTTTTTTTTGGTTTTGTTATCAACTTTATATGCCAATATTACCATCAAAAGCTCTCAATTTAAGGACTTGTGATGAATTACAGTTTTTTGTTTTTGTTCTTGTTGTTACTATATTTGTTTTGTTTTGCTTCTCTTACTGCTGTTTCTGCTACTTCTGCTGCTGCTCCTGCTCTGCTGGTTTTTTTTTACTATCTCTTTTTGCTTTTGTATGTATTCAAGCACTTTCCGAGAGACTTGATGATGAAAGAATGAATGGGATAACATCATCATCATTATCTGTGTATTATCATCATCTTCATCATCATCATAAACGCTTCAATTGAAGAGTTGAATTTTATTTTACAGGACTGAAAAATGAAAAAAAAAAAAATAAGAAAAAGAAGAAAAATTGAAATAAAATCCGGGATCCCTTCATTTTAAACGAATAAATTTTACCTCACTTTAAAATGCTATTTTTTTGTTGTTGTTGTTGTCTTCTTCTGTTTTATTATTTGTCTTCTTCTTTTCTACTTAGTTTTGTTGTTATTTTTGAATGAATTAAATTTTATGTCCCATCATCGCGGCATTTTACAGTAAATTTAAATCTAATTTTTAATGGAAATTTTTTATTATTTTTCGTTTTTCTTTTTTTTTAACTGATATCGATAGTAAACATTGATTTTCGTTCCTCTTTTTCATTTTTTATGGGAAAAGATAATTTGATACAAAAAAAGAGGAAGAGAAGAAGAGAAAAAATTGTTTTATTTTCTAATAAAATTTAAGGATTTCACAAAATGTATTTTTAATTGTTTTGTATATTTGTCACTCTCATGTTATACGAATATGAAGAATTTTTTTTTTAAATTACAGATTTTTTATTTAAATTTGAAATTGTTCAAATTAAATTGTCTATCACTTCACTTTTATACGGTGTTTTAAAAATCTTGCTTTGATAAATCTTCATATTCATACATTTTTTCACATTTCAACATCGTCGGCTCTGGAACTGTAATTGAGGTAATTGATTTTGCCCTATGAAACACCACGATCCCTGTTTCCAATTACTTAATTCGATTCAAGTTGACTATTAATGCCAACCAAGCTAAAAGACCGATGAGACGGTAGTCCAACTACAATAGTAAATTAATCAGATTTGAACACTTACCAAAAGTCTACTTACCGCGACACGTACTGTTCATAACATAAACACTTCCAGCTTGATTAAGACTTGATCAAGAACGGTTATCATTCTTTTAAATCAGATATACTTAATTTTAATATTTTCCATTACTGTTTGCATTATTTTGTCAGTCTTTTCTTTTTGTTATATAATGTAGTAAAACTCCCTCGATTGCCGACCAAAATTGCGCATCGATCAAGTGATATTTTTCGATTTTAAATCTTAGAAAAAATTCCCAAAGAAATGCTTTTAAAGTTTTACGTAACCGTAATAGTATTCTTTCCAAAAATATACCTAACATTTTTGAACCGGCCGAATAACGTAATTTGAAAATTCCGCCAAACCAACAATCGAGACTTTGCAACCCAAGCCATCACATCTGGATCAAATGACGTCAAAACCATAGAAAAAATCAACCAGGACTCAAAATTTTTTTTTTAATTATCATTCAAATAAAATTTAATAACATTTCTTTCCGAATTAAAGTACAATTAATCAGTTTTAAAACTTTATGTATGAAGCAAAAAGTAAAAAAAACATAAGTCATCAATTTATTCAACCGATGATAAAAACCTTATGTGTTTTAATAAAGACACGAACTGTGCTTTTGTTTCCAATTGATTTAAAAAGTACTAAAAATTTAATTATACAAAATCATTCATTCTTATCACTCAAGCCATCAAGTAAACTGCTCATGATTTATAAAATATTTCTGAAAATTTTTCATTTATTCAAATAATATGAAACGTTTTCAATAATTGAAATCATTAATTATTTGCGTGTAGTTGAATTGGCGAAAAGAAATAGCACGCATATTTTCATTTATGATTTCAGTTATTCGACAATTTAAAAATTAATTATCCAAAAAGAACACAAAATATACAGTTAACATTCAATAAATCTTAAAAATATTTTTTAATCAGAATTTTAAAAATGAAATTTTTATAATATTCAATATAGCATCTTCCACATTACTACATTTAAATTAATTTATAATCATTTAGCATAATTATACGAAATATTTCAATTATGATTTATTAAGAGATATTTGTATAATATTGTGAACGCTTTTCAAATATTAATTATTACGATACATGCGAAATTTCATGAGATGTATCTGAATTCAAATTTTGTATAAAGGCGCCATTTCAAGAACACGATTGACAATGGTATTACAAAAAAATAAACACTGATAATAAGAAGCCATTTAACACAGTGCAATAAGAAAGAATGAATGATTAAAGTTGAAAACAGAAGAAGAGCGATTTTCCACGACGTATTGTCAAATTTCATATAAACACATATATTTAAATGGGACTGCCCAAAATCAAGCGAAATTGCCTCTGCGAATTTAACCATCGGCGGCAAAATAGCCTAATTTCCTAGTTTACTGACGATTCTTCACTCAGCATTTTGCCTTTCCGCTGTTGTTCTGAGTTAAAAATTTAAAATTGTCCACCGTTGCCGTTCACTGCTTCGCCAAATCGAGTCCGAGCTTAACTCTTTATGAACATCAAAATCGTTTTTATATCAAAAATATGCTGATGCAAATTAAATAAAATTTAGGAATTTTAGATAAAATTTAATTTAACATTTACTCAATTTATTTCCGTATTTAAAATCTCCTTAAATATTGTGCATGTTATTTCATTGCCATAAAGAGTAATAAACACACAAATACCAAATTTATTACACATACTCTGATTGTTTGGTCAGTTTATGTTCCTCCATATTTATTAATGTGCTGTGACAGATTTGCGTATTTTTTTCTAATTTATTTATTCTACACATTTTCATACATTTTTCTACATACACGTGTGCAAATGCCATATAAAGCGGTCAATAAATTATTTTTGTTCTCCGTAAATAATATTTATTTTTAGAAAAGAAATTTCTCTGCTTTCAAACTTATGAAATCAAGCTTTTCGACATTATTATTACTCAAAGGATATAAGAAGGTTTTTTTTTGCATTCAATTCCCATAAATCAAATAATTCCTTTCTTCCTTTTTATAGATTTTTTTTATAATAATTTTAGTTAAATACTCCCAAATACAAAATACAATCAAGAGTAAATTATTTTGTTACGTAGAACACGTGTACATGTGAAACGATTCGTCTATTCTATTCCTATAGAGTATTATAAATTTTCCACTCCATTTGTAGCTATAAAAACTAATGGCTGGAGATTATACAAAACCATAAGTTGTAGTTTCACCTGTTTTACATATGTCTGAATGTATGTCTGTGCAACGTATATTTTTTCACTCTCGCCTCCCTAGATGAAAGGCTCTGTTAATCATGTCTCTCAATTTAGGGCATTCTCCTCATTTACTGTTAATATTTGGGTATAAATCATTATACATCTTAATATATTCTTCCCGTTCGGATCGACACATAGCGCTCTGATGATCTTCATATATTCTTATATACATATGCAATCTTGATTTCATAGAGATAGCGTCGAGTTATTGATCAATTTAGGTATGTCTCTCTATGTCCCTCTATTTCAAAAATTACCACTCATATTTTAAAACAACAGTTGTACAGTTTTTTTTTAGATATAAAATTTTAATTGGGTTAAATATTTTGCAGCTGCAGGTTACACTTAACGTCTCACCATTTCTTACACATTTGAGATTACCAGAATATATCTCTGTCGATGCAAAACTATCTTTCGGGCTATAATGAACTGCACAGAATATACTCAGTCCTCTCAAGCTCCTCAATGAAATATATAAACAGGCTCAAAGTTTTAATTAGTGCAAATAATATCCAATATTCCAGTAGTGTTGACTCTTCTGAAACAACTCATGAAACCATTAATTTATACGGGTATCACATAGAGTTGTCACAGTCTCTCTTTCGTATACACCCGTGTTTTAAAAAAAAAAAGATAATTCTCGATCGCAAAATATAGAGTAAAAAGGACATTTATTTTATTTAAAATAAAATCCTTTTTTCTCTACTTTTATTTCTCTATAACTGCTAAAATTCCTTAAAATTTTTTTTATTAATTTTTTTTTTAACTCGTTATAATTTTACCTCTTTTATACTCTCAATATCTTAAATGCTATAGAGTGACAAAAAAAATAAAAAAAAAAATTCAAGAAAATTAAATGACCCTTTTTTTTTGGATCGTTCTCATCCCAGCAATAAAATTATCACTCTACTGAACAGAAATAATGAAAATCAACATTAAATCATTTGCGGAATATACGATACATATTAAAGCACAGTCCAGCAGTTTCCGGTCTTGGTTATTATATTGTCTGCATTTTTTTCTTTTGTTTATTTTTTATCTTCACTTTTCTTGTGTTGTTTTCCCATTTTACTTTAATTTTTATTATACAATATAGAGTCTTAAAATAACAAATACTCTTTATTTTATGTACATAAACACATACATATTGAATGAAGTGCAAAACATAATCCTTGTTCTTCTTCTCTGTGCTCAATCTTTATAGATATATATAACACAATGTTATATAAGTATATTATATAACAGTGGAAAAAAAATGTCCTTTTAGTCCTTGTATAGAGGACAATCATCATGTAGAATAGTTTTTGTTTTTTATATATTATTCGTTATCATTTTTGTTTCTGACATTGTCGTTGTCATCATCATATCCACCATTATCATTATCATTATCACCGTCATCATCAATATCAACCATATTAGATACGAACACTAACCATCACCAACCATCGTCCCTGTGTATATTGTAGTATGTACAGTTATTCTCCGATCCTTTTATATATACATATATATTTTTTGCGAGACCATAATTTCTGTTTTGGGAATTTAAGTAAATTGTTCTATCTTTCTATATACTCTTCATGTTATTTCAGCATTCATTCATATTACGAACGACACACAAATCTATCTATTCATTATATGTATGTTATGTAAACTCGTATAAATATTCTTCACGACTAATTTTATACCTTTTATGCTCAGTGACCTAAAAATTGAGTTGCTTTTATGTATCGTTAGAAAATAATTTCACACCCTAACAAATTGTACCCTTATAATCTCAGCGAAAATCAAAAAAAAAAAAAATTAAAAAAAAAAGAAAAAAAATTTTAGAATAGAATAAGACTTGGAACAAATTTTAAAATTATTTCTTGTTTTTTGTTATTTTTTTGAGTAAAAATTTTGAATACATTAATGTATGACTTTCTCCGTATCCCTCTAACTCTAACATGAATGTGATTGAATTTATTTATTTATTTTTGTTATTGCTTTTTTATAAAATAGCACCTAACATCAGAGTTTATTATAAAACAAAACAAGTTAAAAATTTTATTCAATCTCCTAGCCTACATTTTACATTCTCTCTCTCCCTATCTCTTCCTGACTCTCATTCTATACATGGGGTTAATGTATAAAGTAATTGTATGTTTTTACGATTTAGAAGGAACGAGATGGCATTATTAACATTAGAATATTTTGAATGCCCTAAAAAATTTGTATGTCAAATTTATATTGAATAAAGAACAAAACAAAAAAAAATTAATTTTACATTTTAAAGTTACAATATTCAATTTTTTGTTAAATTACTCTTTATACAAACGCACATTTATGCACATTAAGTATGTATGTATGTACACGTACATCTATTAAAAGTATTTGTGCATTAAATTTAAAGTAGGCATTCAATTTAATTTTCGAAATCAAAGTAGATAACGCATTAGTAAATATTAAACCAAACTTTTCAAGTTTTTAATTTATTTTTAGTTTTTTTTTTTTTTTTATATAAAAACGATAATTGAAATTAATTCCCTTAGATACACTAACAAATAATTATTAAGGATTATTATTTGTGGATATTGAGTCCAATGTTAATTTTTATAAAAAAAAGTATGTATTTTTTATATAGGTATTATGAATTTCATGTTCACTTTTGGGACTATCACTAACTTAAGACACTGCACAGGGAACACGAAAAAGTGAAAATTTTTTAACATGGCACACGAAAAGGGTGCAAATTTCTAATTCCAAACGGGTATATTTTATATTAAATGACTAATTTTAGTAATTTATATCAAGCTACTCTATTTCGGAATGCGGGGTACGAAGCACGTAATTTTTATTAATCGTATAACAAAATAGTTCAGTCTCTGTTTCATACGCACCCGTGTTTCAAATTCTCTGTCGTAAAACGAGATATCAAAAAAACCAAAAATGAGATGCCGGTCGTCTCGAATTACCTGTTAAATTTCTCACCAAATAATTTCAACATCTACTGGTGCAGGCATTTTTTTTATGAACGTAAAAAAGGCTGTTTTGTGGTTTCTTTAATGATGTCAATTATACAGGAGTTGAAATGTGACTCGATTACTCATGAACCAATGTAAAACATTAGAAAAAATTGAGCATGACCGTAATTGCTGCAACCCAAATTTTTCAACCATGACTTTTTAATAAATTTAAATTTGTTCTAGTTTCCATATTTACTTAATATTTATGTAGGAATTTTGAACATTTCTCAAAATCTCGATTTAGTATTAGTAATTGTTCTTTGGGAGAGCCATACGAACGAGCGAATAAAACGAATATTGTGTTTAAAAGACACAATAATGAATTTTCCAAAATCATTTATTAACTTTTATACAAAACAAGGTACCAGATACTCTAGAGAAAACAGGAATTCACAATTTCATATAATTTTCCTTTTGTTCTCTTGTAGTATTTTGTTTTTTATTTAATTATTCTTATTTTATTTTACTTTTTTTTATATTATATAACATTTAATTGAAAATTACTGCTATTTGAAGAGGATTAAATGTAACTGTAATTTTATTTTTATTATTCATTCTGTATACAACTTAAATACACATACATACATATGCATATATATATATATATACATTTATATATTTATTTAATTAAATATTCTTTTATTCTTATATTGAATAACTGTTATTAGTTTTTGTTATTATCGTTATTATTATTGTATTGATTAAGCATTTCATTTTAGTGTTGTGTCTTTCATTGAAAATTATTTACAAAATTACATACATACATACATACATATTAACTAACTATTAAGTATAATTATAATGTGTATTTTAATATTAATTAACATTCAACTGAACAGAAAATTCTATAATTATCTATACAAATTGCGTTTTGCCTATATGATTAAATAATAGAAAATTTTTATTTTCATATTATTATACAAATTCATATAAATTAAAGATATTGGGATTTATAATAAAAAAAATATAAATATATATACATATAATGTACAAACATAAAATTTTTATGTTCATTCTATTAAATTTTTATTTAATGAAGAAATTTTGAAAGAATTAAGGACTGTGGCATTAAATTGATAATAAGGAAGACTTGTAGTGTTGAATACATATATATAAAAAATCGCCATTAATTTTAAATTCGAATTTTGAGTTAGATATGCAACAAAGTTGCGCTTGTCAAATCTAGCCACAATTTATACCTAAATGAGAGCAAAAATTTAACCTTTTTATTAAATGCATACTTAAAGAAGTGACAATTCTTAAATAACGGTATATTCTCTTTTTTAGGTTAGTGTCATATTCTCTTACATCGGAGTGAGCATAGTATTATTTTTTGTCTCCAGGTTTTCACCATATGAATGGAGAGAAATTCAATATTCAGGTAAGTTGAAATAAATTATGCATTATATTTGATCATGTATTTTGAGGCAACTATGTTAAAAAAAAAACTTTTTAAAAATAATTAAATTTTACTAAAAACTAATTTACAGTTTTCAATAATTTAAACAACTTAAAGCAATTATGGTAAACTTCGATATGAGAAAAATAAACATCAAAATCAAATAATAAATAATTCATTATAAAATGAAAGAAAAAAAAGGACGCAAAATTAGAACGAAAAATGTTTAAAAATTCTCAATGAAAGAAAATTTCTTCTCGAAACAGCGAAATTAAACGATTATGTGCGACAGAGGAACGACAAAGAAACGAATTTTAAGGCTTAAAAAAGTTCTTTTCTACTTCAACTGAACTCAAACTAATGACAAACCGATTTCATAGCGGACTTTCTATCAAATGAACAACGGAAATACGAAGACATTCTCGGTAATTTATTTTAAAAACTCGTATAAATACGGAATAGCGAAATTCCTAATGAAAGTATCGAAGAATTTAGCAAAAATAAAATTTAACTACATCACTAGTTAGACTACATTACATTTAGAGCCTGAATCAAATTAAGTCGTAAGATTTCAAAAGAAATTGCAGCTCTAAATGTACAAGACATGCAAAATTAATAAAATCTACACTCATATTGAAGTTTTTCATTTTTAAAATCTAAAAAGTGTGCACGTTTACTTAATTACTACACGTTTTAATTTTTAATTCCTTGCTTCCTGTCTACAAGTATGCAATTGTTATAAAAATCATATTTCCTATAATTTTATATTAAAAAACCATGAACTAAATGTGGAAACACACTTTAAATACGTTTATTAGAAAAACAAAAGAAAAATCATATAAAACCCAATATACCTGCTGCTGGTACACCGTATGTTCATTCAACCATCATAATAATTTTAAAATTTTACATTTCCACAAAATTACAAGCCTCTTTTTTTTTCAAAATATCAAAATAAATAATATTTATTAAATTATTTAATGTAAAAACTCCAACATAATAGCGATGATATAACGAAGTTAATGCAATGTTAAATAAAAATGAAAATTATTTGTGAATATTTTTATTTAAACGGTGAATAGCATATGATTTTAAATATCCTGGTATCCGGACACAATAATATTTTCTCCATATATAAATTTTGCAAACTTAAATAACGCGCCATTTTTATTTTTATATTAATTAAAAGTCAAATGGAATATCAGTGTATGTACGTACGTGTAGCCCAAAGAATCGAACGTATCCTCCACATTATATGATATTCTGCCATTCTTTGCATATATTAAACTCATTCACATGTATATATATATAATATAAATAAAGATTTTGTATAAATATTTATAAAAAGTTTTGTATTTGTGCCTCTGAATTCAGCCACATTTTGCTATTGTACAAATACTTTAAAACCGGAAAATTTCAAATATTTTCAATTTTTTTTTTTACTATATAAATTGCGTACAATAAAATTTTAATGTACATACAAACATACATATATTATGCAGAATGCAATATTCATTATAATTTTTAGTATTTACATACATACGCATATATTATGTACACAAGTTATGAATAGAATGTTGTTAATTTGCTGCCCAATATACCAAACTTATATACGATTGGTCAAATTTATAACAATTCTCGTGACATATATGTAACGTTTTTGAATATATTTAATTAGCTCTCTTACATATACATATATATATATATATATGTATAATGAAAATGAATGAAAATTATATTATATAACATGAAGAGTAAATAATAAACTTTATTTCCTTGCCATATTCAGATTTTTTTTGTTCTGGAAATAAATTTCCTCATAACATCACGATCAAACAATTCGTTTTTCCTTTCTGTTAATTTTCTCTTCGTTTTCTGTTTTTGTTTTTTGTTGAAAAAGTGGAAAAAAGTTGTGTTCTTCGTTTTTTTGTTTTGTTTGTTGTTCTTATTTTATTTTTAAAATTATCCTGCCAGCACTTTGTAATTTAAACATTAATTTGTTGTATATGCTTTTCATATGGTTTTTTTTTTTTTGATTTTTATTTTTCCTTGAATACATTTTTGCTGCCATATTTCTTTATGGTTATAAATTTTTACTATACAATACCGGATGCAATCATCAACATATTTGTGCCGATACTCAATTGAATATCAAAATAAAATAAAATTTCAAACAAACAAATATTTTCTTTTCATGTACAAGTGCGTATATGTTGAACAGGGTTGGCCCTATCCTATTTTTAAAGTTATTTAAAAATGCTACTTTTCTTTCCAAAAATTCTTTAATTTGCTCTTACTATTTTCTTTGTCTGCCATCTAAATGGTAAACGAATGCTCAAATTTAAGAATTTATCGATTTGTTTTCTTGCCTGATTTGGAAATTTTGGACTTGAATTAGGTCAATTTGAAGAACTTTTGTAAAGGTTCTGGATTTTCAATTGACTTTTATATTTGATACGGAAATATGTCGCATGAAGTCTACCCTACAGAAGAATTGTTATACTTTTCTTCCTTTATTGCCAAATGTTTTACTACTTTCACGCGACATAAAGATTTTCTAAATTTGCAACAATGCTAATTTTTTACTTGAGGCGACAGCCTTACTGTAAGCCCATATAATATTCACCATTATTTGTACTCATACCCAAACGCATACGTATATACACAAATAATATATACGAGTCAGGAAATTTATGTACACACATATGTGTGTGTGTAAATTATGACGAAAATTTTCATATACGACGCGTACATATTGTACGTATAAAATAAAATAAATTTTTTCTATCTCCGTTTGCTGTTAACATTGTTCACTTGTACAGCTAAGCTCATATCTATGCGAAACAAAATATTGTACAATTTTTGTCATTTGGTTTTTTTTGCCTCTCTTTTTGTTGTCAATTTACTTTCATAATTTTTTCCTATATTTTTTTTCTTTTATATTTTTATATTTTATAGAAGTTGAAACACATCATGATATACCACCGCCACCACCGCCCACCTCAAATCAAGCAACAATAATACAAAAAGTTGCTGTTAATGAATTCAGTATTTTGAATTCATTTTGGTTTGCTTTAGCTGCATTTATGCAACAAGGATGCGATATATCACCACGATCAATATCCGGTCGTATTGTTGGTTCCGTCTGGTGGTTTTTTACGCTTATATTAATATCATCATATACAGCTAATTTAGCAGCATTCCTTACGGTTGAAAGAATGGTAACACCAATCAATTCACCCGAAGATTTAGCAAGGCAAACGGAAGTTCAATATGGTACACTATTGCATGGATCTACATGGGATTTTTTTAGGGTAAATATATATGTACATATAAATATTTTTGTATATATAAGTATAAAAAAAAAGTACAGCTAGTTTTGAATTGTAAACATTTTTATTTTAAAAATGAAAAACATAAACTAAAATAAACTGAGATGAAAATTTTAATATTTATTTTTGAATATTTTTATAAAACCATAATTTTTATGAAAATATTTGGAATACAAAACAAATGTCTGTCTGTAAATTTGAAAATCTTGGCATGGTGGGAATTTTGACATTTTATTTAAATAAAATGGCTGACATTTTTGTAAAATATTTTGAATATTTTTCAATATTTGAATGTGTTTTTAGTTCAAAATCAAGAATTTATATAAAATCTGAAAAATTTTTAATATTTGTGCATATTATGAAGCAAATCGTGTATGACTTTAGTTCTAATTTAGAAATCAAACATTGTTCGTAAAATTTGTTTGATTTGATTAATGTTTGGTTTAAAGACATTTTGTTTGATTGAAAAATTAATTGTCAAGTTTCTCTTACAAACAAAATCCATGTACAACATTTTTATATCCAAGTCTCATTATCAATAATATTTTGGATAAAAATCTTATAAAATGACAAAGTAGAATTACATTCGATTAAAACGTACTGTGTTCCTATGAATGCAACAAAACAATTTAAACTAAGTATATTCTATAGTAGTTTACACCCTAAAAAATTTTCAATTTTTAATTAATAAATCAAAATTCATTTTTTCTCTTTATTAATTATCCTATTACTACAGAGATCAACAATGGAATTACATACGAAAATGTGGGAATATATGAATTCAAGACCTCATTTATTTGTTAAAACTTATGATGAAGGTATACGAAGAGTAAGAACATCAAAAGGAAAATATGCTTTATTAGTCGAATCACCGAAAAATGAATATGTGAATGCTAGAGAACCTTGTGATACAATGAAAGTTGGCCGAAATTTAGACACAAAAGGATTTGGTGTAGCGACACCTATCGGTTCACCATTGAAGTAAGTATAAAGAATTCATATTACAAACGAACAAACACAAATATAAAGGTATACAACCATAGTAAACGTACGTAGTAACAATCTAAGTAATCGTATTAAATGTTTTACGTATGAAAAGGAAAAATTCATTTATTTACTTTGTGGCGAATATACGAAAAAGAAATTTGAAGAGATTTAGAGGAAAAGCACTAAAAAGATAATACACTTTTCAAGGATTTGCAAACAAACAAGAATTTATTGTTAGTACACAAACAAGGTATACATACATATTACTCCATACAATATAACATTATGGAGACGTCAACTCTGTCAATATACTAAAACGAAAATAAAAATGTTAAATGTATAACATTATTACAAGCATATAGATGGTACTCTAAGATTTGAAAAAGCGGTTCGATATAAATTTAACAGTGATTCTTGGAACATAAAAATTCTTTATTTTGAACAAATATAAACCCCAAATAAATTAGATTGGTACAATACCGATTATTTTTCTGCGTTTGCGAATTCTTTTAATTACCTTTGGAACTTTCTTGTTCTGAACCAATGAGGAGACCTCAGTACCCCTTATAAGAGAAAAATAGGAGAAAAAAAATACTGGGGAGCTTTGTTCTTACGGCGGCTGGGTTGCGGTCTTCTGGGCCACACAGAGTGCTAGAATTAATCAGGAGGATGGGACTTAAGCGGGTGTTATACGGCATATCCCGCACTCAAAAGGGAGGCACAATGGATCCTTATACGCGGTTGCGATGCACTGCTACCCCCATTATACAAATCTAAAATCCACGTTTTGAAATAAAGGAATCCTTGATTATGGTGCAGTACCATTATAGCTACTATTAAATAAGCGCAATACTGCAAATGCAGTTTAAAAGTTAATATGTTCATTAGTTCTATTCAACAATGCCTTATAGTTCTTCCAATAGTAATAGTTCTAGGCTAAACATTTTTTAATTCAAATCAATGCTCATTCTAGTTGATCCTTTATAATGTTGTACTCACGAGTTAAAAATTTTAACACGTTTATACTTCAACGCTTTTATGTTATAACCACATCAATACAAAGAGGCATTTATCTTCATGTTGCCTTCATAAACACATATCAAGTACAAATACTGCATAACATAGAATGTAACAGAGATGCAAATAAATTGTTTTCACAATATAGACACGTCTTGTTATTTTATGCATTACAAGACACAACACTTTGTACAATACTTCATGGTACATTACTTTTCTATTCATCTAAACACAACTATGCGGAAACTTGAATGTTTTTTTTTTAAATGCAAACCATAGATTGTTATAGGAAAATGTTCTCAGTTAACTCAACAAATTTTTTCTAATATTTTTCTTTTTAATTTATTTTTCGATTTTTTTTTTTTTTGTAGAAATGTTATAAATCTTGCTGTTCTTGATTTAAAAGAAGATGGGAAACTAGATAAACTAAAAGCAAAATGGTGGTACGATAAAGCTGAATGTGTTCAAGGTGAAAATCAAGAGACATCACATAGTGAATTATCGCTTAGTAATGTTGCTGGTATATTTTATATATTGATTGGAGGCCTATTAATTGCTGTTCTAGTTGCAATTATTGAATTCTGTTTTCGAAGTAAATCATCATCATCATCGTCATCATCATCAACATCTTATCAAAATCGTAATTCACTGCCAGATGGTGTCCATTCAAAAGCAAAATTAACTATACAAAGTAGTAGAGAATTTGATAATGGACGAGTAGGTGTAAGTTTTTAAATGTAATTCTTCAATAATATTACATTTTTATTATATAAATTCTCATATATTGTTTAATAAAATTAAAATTAAAAAATATTTTTGTTTTTTTTAATATTTTAAGTATTATCCATCAGCACAAATGAATCCACCTACTGAAACTGAAACATTACATATGAATACACATGGTCAAGTTTGACGTGAACATGCGCAAGAGTCGAGACTATGACGTACTCCTTGCGCACCAACAATACGCCGAATAATGGCAAATAGTCGACAAGAAACCGAAAAAATGCTTAGTAATGAAGCACTAGTAGTTGGTCATCAAAATAATACATTAACAAGAAATACAAGTTTAGTAAATTATGGTAACACTTAAAATATTATTATATAGAAAAAATAGTATTAAAACATTAAAATAAATATAAAAATATATTTATACGTATATATACAAATAGCTATATATATATATAAATTTGTTTAAAATTAAAATATCTATAATAACAAATTTATATATACAAATATACATACATAAATATATATATATATATATAAACGGAATGAAATCTAATCCTAAAACACCTATTAAGTAAATTTAACTATTTATACATATACATATATATATAATACATACATACATATAGATTAATGCTAAGAGTAATAGGAAACTAAACTATAAAATAAAAATATAAATTATATAACAGAAATCAAAATAAAAAAAAACCAAAAAAAAAAAAATAATCAACAGTAAATAAGGAAGAAGAAAAAGGATATAGGACAAAACAAAATTTAGCCAAAAAAAAAAAAAATAATGTTAAAGCCAAAATCAAACATTAAATTTAGGACAAAACAAAAAAAAATTGAAAAAAAATAGGAATTAATGCTTATGGAAATGAAAATTACAGTTATGTTTTTTATACTGAATAATTTTTAATTTTATTAAAATTAAAACACGAACGTAATAATAAAACGGAATAGTGTTAAACATTGCCTACATTTAGGCGCTTTGAAAATTTTTTTTTCTGAATTCGTGCCAAAAATGAACACACTAAACATTTTCTTATTTATATTTTTTAAAATTTTTAAAAATAAATAAAAATTTTATAATTATAATAAATGATAATTATTTTGATGCACTTTCAAATTTTATTAATTTATTTTTTATTAATTTCTCATTATTAAATTAAATTACGAAAAATTCTAAAATGAAATTGTCAAACTGCCATTTTGAAAATAATTTTATACAATAACAAAATATTATAAATGCCAAAAAGAAGATGTCAATTTATTTTTTAAACTGTCATTTTTGTGTGACGAGAAGCATTTAAAGCAAAAAGTTTCACTTCATACAACAACTGAGTTCAATTTCGTTTCATACTTACATGTAGAAAACTAATTTTAATTTATTTTAAAATGCAAAACTAAAATTACTGAAAAGCAACGGCAATAATAATTTGTCTATATTATATAATTTATATTACGGTAGGTTCGTCACCTACCTAGTAAACTCAATGACGTAAGAAACTGATTCATGGTTATCTACTCTCAGGAGCGAAGTAGGATTAAAAAAAATATATATATATTCAAAATAATTTACTACATATAAGAGTTTTTCACAACCTTAATAATTATATTAAAAGAAGTAAATTAAAATACAGTGAACCCGGCTTTCGGGAGTTGCCCTCCCATTATGTTCGCAAAGAATTATTCACTTTTCTGTAAGTTTATTTTAGTTAAGCGAATTCGTTTGAATGAACTTTCAATTCAGATATCCGAATAAACTTTTGATTCACATAAATAAAATTTCGTTATAGCGTTCAAAATAATATGAGAATATTAATAATAATTTTGTGATTTCTAACCAAAGCCAATTGAACATTCTGGCACTTATGAGTGGTTGAATGTATTTGACAACAATAATAAAGAAAAAAATTAAAACAATATCAACCATTTTAGAAGGCATTGCCAATTTTTAATTTTTAAACGTGATGCATACAGAAAATTCTCTTTTTTTAATACGCTTTAATTGCAATACATTATTAAATCAAACATGTTTGTTCGAACATGAATATCAAACTTTTTGTCGCATATAAATAATTATACAGAAATTTCAATTCATTTCATCAAATAACATGAGAGTGTGTCATTATATAATCAAATTCTATACCTATACCTATTTAGTACATTAAAAAATATTTTCCTCATATTTATCCCACGTATTTTATTATTATACATTATATAAAAGAAAAATACTGAAATCAAAACAAAAAAAAAACACAAATTTCACTTCCATTTTAATTTTAAAACAAAAAAAAATTAAAAGCCAAAACTATAACGCCTCTGACAGACATGCAAGTTTTAGTTTTGCAACTATACAGTTTGATTGCAAATTAATTGCGTGCACATGTTTGTAAAAAATTGCAATCAGTTTTAAAAAAAATTACAAACTGTTTGATTGCTTATTTCATACAATTGCATGTGTGCACGCTTGAATACGAGCCTACAGAATACAAATAAGTAATCAAACAGTTGCAAAACTAAAAACTCCATGTCTGCTTGAGCCCTAAACATCCGAAAAAATTAATAAAAAAAATAACAAAAAATATTTAAAAAAAAATTTTTTTATAAAAATAAATTTCAAGAAATCAGGAATTCCAACACTGTGACTGTAGATAAAATAAAAAAACATTTAAAATATAGGTAAAACTCATATAATAAAAAAATATATTTTAAAAATTAAAACTAAAATAAATAAAATAATTAAAACATTTAGCATTAAAAGCAAAAAAAAAAATTACTAAATAATTAAATCAAATTTAATTTATTTTTTCAAAAAAAAACATAACAAAAAAAAGGAAAACAACTTAGAAGTCAAACAACAAAAATTATAATAAATTTAAATAATAAATAAAAAATAATAATAAAAACATAAAAAATTTCATTTTGATTTATAATTATTACATAAGAATATTATAAATATAAATTTATATACATATATATATATATATATAGAGTCATATCCTAGATAAGTTTGATACATTAACTAATTTAATACAAAACAAAAAAAAAAGACAGAGAGGAAGAAGAAAAAATAATACGAAAAAATTAAATTTAAAAATTTAATAATTATTCTCAAAAAAAAAACATAAGAAATATAAGAAATGTAAAAAAATATTATGAAAATTATAAAAATTTATTAATAAAAATTAAATAAAAAAAAACCAAAATAACTAAGAAATAAAAATCATAAATGTGTTAAAAACGCAACGTAAAACACTTAAGAAGTATTTTTTGTCATATCAAACAAAAAAAAAAATAATAAAAAAATCAAAAAGAAAAAATAAAAAAAAAAATAAAAACTTAACTGGATTTAAAATATTTATTAATAAAATAAAAAAAAACAAATAAAAAAATGACAAATGTATTGGATTGAAGAGCAAAAAATATTTCCGAAGGCAGTACCGACAGGTACTCATAATTTATTGATCTAGTGGAAATGAGAGCGTTTGTTCTTTTAAAAATTTTACTTTTTCACCTTTTAGTAGGGAGCAGAAATCAAACTTGATTGTTAATTAACGTTTATAGAAAATAATTAATCAAATTTCAGAATTCACCACATCCGAATTTTAAAAGGTCGAAAACGCTTATTTCTTAGTACTACATACTCAGTTTACTCCTACAGATGCCGTTTTGAAAAAGAAAATTGTACAACTGTAATCAAAAATGATTGATATACAAAATTTGTTTAACATGACTTCTAACTTAAATTTTATTTGCATGCATCCCAATTTCAGATTTTTTCATTTATTCCAAGTGTTTACGAAATGAAAATTGTTTTCTTTCCGTACTTGCATTCTGTTTTAAGTTTAGAAAAGAAAAAACTTAAACATTTTACAGGTTAAGTTATAGGTTTATTTTCAGCCTGTCATTAAAGTATCTGTCAACATTAAACGTCAACAACAAAAATGATAAATTCATGTAAAACGAGCTCAACATCAAAATATGCAATTCACGTTTTTTTTCTCTTTTCAACCATTATGATAATTTTAAAAATTTTAAGTGTAGTATTAATTTACTAAAAACTGACCAATGTCCAAATAGAACCTTATTGTCCTAAAGCCGCGTAGTTGCTTCAAAATCTTCAAAAATTTGGGCTTTAAAATCAAAAAATAGATATGATATACGTCTTTATTCTGAATCATCTCCTACTAAGTAAAAGTGTTTCAATACATACAATAAGTTTCAAAGGACATACAATAAACCATTTTATAATTCATAATAAAATATTAATTTTTTAATGTACAGTTCGTTTACTGTTATGCAGTAAAAGTTTGCATTATTTTTATCATTTTTATCAATGTTAAGTTTTAATAAAATTAAATAATTATAAAATTTTAGTTAGTTTTTTGTACTCAATTCAATACATTTGTCCGTATGTAAGACTTTCTCATATTATAGTTAAAATTAAATAAAATTTAATTTTTTTTTTTTTTAAATATTATTATATAAATTAAATAACATAGAATAAAAAATGTAAATATAGAATTAATAAAATAATAATAAAAATAATGATATTTAAATTAAATTTATAAACTAAATACTTCTTTTGTAATTAAAATTTAAAAATAAAAAAAAAAAAACAAAAAAAAAAACATGTTACTGTTAGTTGAAAATGTTAAAAATAAAAAAAAATCGAGTTTCAGTTTTTATATTTACTAAACAATAAAAAAAAAAAAATTAAATTAATTAAAAATTTTAAAAATAGAAAAAATTTTGTAATTTTGCATTTTATAATTTTTAAAAAATCATTATTTTTTTTTTGTTTTAATTGAAATTTCCTCTTAAGACATAAACTTATAGGAAGCGCACACCAAAATTAATTTAAATTACCATAGGAAAATTCAAAATTCTTGACTAAATTCAAAAGAGCAACGCTGAAAAAATAAAATTCTTAATCACTTAAAGTCTCTCTGCAAGAATCATTTTCAATATATTGCATTTTTCATAAAACGTCCTTCACACAAATCCTTGCCTTGCCACAATTATTGAAAAATTGACAATTAATTCATTGGTAGTGTGTATGAGCACATGTTATCAATCGAGATTCAAAACTTAATTCTTTCCATAATGCTTGAAATATTTAATTAAAAATTAAATTTGAAAAACAAAATTCAAGTTTTAAGCTTAAACTTCAAAAAAAAGGCGAGAAAAATATTCAGCGCCCCCTTATGCTCTCATTTTATTTTAATTTTAAACTAAACTCAACGCCATCATATTTATAATGTGCTCTCAAAATATCAATAAAAAGAGAAAAATAATTAATTACGACTTATGAAATAAAAATTACAATATATTTGCAACTACATAACTATATATACACGTATGTGATTGTTCGTATATAAACTTACATATTTAAAGAAAATATTATTAAATAAAATTTTATTTTCAAAAACCTGTTTTTTATTTATTAATTGTTAATATTAAATTGTTATTATTAATTAGATTTTTATTATTAAAATTAAATTTGAACATTATTTTTAAAATACATACACTGAAAAACAAAAACTGTTATATAAGAAAACAAAGAAGAATTAATGTTTACCCGGAATTTATATAAAAACAAAAACAAAATGAATAATTAAAAAAAAAATAATAAAGCAAAAATATTTTAGTAAATAATTCAGTATCATCCATCATAATTAAAAATCTACTTAATCCTTAAATATTATACATAATATACATACATATATAAATGTTAACCTAACCTTAAAAAATAAATTTTTGCCAAAAAAAAAAAAATTTTTACCTACATATTGTATACAATAATTTATTAATTTAATTTTTTATTTAAGTTTTTTATGAGTTTTCTACTAGTCTCTCTCTATCTCTCTCCTGGTGAAAAAATATAATATAATTAATAACAGATAAAAAAAAATATAATAAAAATCTGAGAATATTTTGTAATATTTTTGAGAACTTTTATTTTCAAACGCTCAGGATATTTAACAAAACATAAGTTTTTAATTTAACTATCAAAGACATCCGAAGATACCCGAAAGCATCCGAAAATTTGAAAACAAAATTTTGTAAATTCGTTAATCGTTCTCTTCGCCATTTTTTCCCAATCAATATAAATTTCTCATTCTATTATTTCTTCTCTCTCAATTCTAATACTCGAAAAATATTTCAAAATATCTCTCAGTCACAATAAAAAAAAAAAACAAAAAACCGTATATAATATTTTAATAAATAAATTACCTACGAGAATTACAATCAAACATTTACCAAATTTACCTTCATAAGCATTAAAGAAAACAAAAAAAAAAACATTTAATTAAAAATTAATTAACAAAAATCGCATTTATTAAAAAAAAAATAAATCCAAAAAAAAAACTATCGTAACTGTTATATAGACATTAAATAAACGAAATTCATCCCATAGGAATTACAGAAAGCAAAGAAAAAACAAAAACATGAAAACAAATTAAAAATTAAATTGAAAAAAATTATACAGACATACATACATACATAGATATTAATTAACAAAAATCAAAACAGAAAAAATAGCTAATCTCCTTAAAAACTGAAACTTATTATAAAAAAAAAATAAAAAAAAAAAAAAACAAAAATAAAAAATTAAACAAAAAAAAATCAAAAAAATATTAATTATAGTATAAAAATCTAATCTATGTAATTTATGTAAGTAAATTTCAACAAAGAAAACCTAAAAAAAAAAACTTGACTCATAATCAAAAAAATAAAAAAAAAGAATGCAAAATAATGTTTTTTTTTTTTAAATAAAAAAAATTTTTTGAGCATGTAAACTGTAAACTTTTCGAGTTTTATTTATTTTGGCCAACATTATGCAGCTATAATGCATAGATTATTGAAAATAGATATGAACAAAGGAACTCCTCCTCTCCCACCGCCGCAGCTACCCATGACTTATTGCAGCCCTACGATAATGCATTTCCATTAAATACTATTTAGCTTGCTCCAATTGACTTGGCAAAAGAAACGAGATGTTACCATATTTGAATATTCCCTGCTTGCCTATTAAATCCGGTAAGATCCAATACACCATTAACCCGAAAAATATAACCCTGGTTGAATTTGAACAATTTTTGGGGTGATCAAATTAAATTAAGAAGAGTTCGCTTAAAAAAACGACACAGCTCTTATGATTTAGAATATTTGATAAAATTTTGGAAAACATTATTCAAGGCGGATAACAGACTTTATGAAACTTGTGAAGGATGAAAGGTGAATAAAAATATTAACAAAAAGTTCTACAAATTTGCTTTTTATTATACGTCATTGAAATTTTTCCTAAACTGACTATCAAACAAGTCAAAACATTTCAGTCGGTCTAAACCGATTATAGACCGCACTATTCAAAATTTATATTTATTATTTTTAACTTTTATAGTTTTATAGCAATTACTCGAACCTTTTAAGTCATTTTATAAAAACTTCACGGATAAATCTGATTTATAAGTGGACACATGACTGCCAAAGCAGCTAGCCTTATTATTTTTTTAACTATTTATAATACTAGATTTTAAGGTTATGACATTTATCCGAACCTCTTGTCCAAATCGGTTATAATAAGAGATATCCTTCAGATTACT